GAGATGTCAATTAGAACTTTCTCTTTCCCGCATCACACACCAGGGCCTATTGTGGGGAGGGGGGAAGGATAGCATTAGAAGATATACCTAATGTAAATGACGAGTTAATGGGTGCAGCACACCAACATGGCACATGTATACATATGTAACAAACCTCCACGTTGTGCACATGTACCCTAGAACTTAAAAAAAAAAAAAAAAAAAGAACTTTCTCTTTCCCTTCCTGTTTCCCCACAAACTTTCAGAGAAAAGGAGAAAGAAAAGGAGGTAGAGGAAGCAAAGATTCTCTCCCGCCTTGATGTCTGGATCCCTGCTGAGGAAATGGAAGATAATGACTTTCACTGCAGCAGGAAGGTGGCCTCAGAGTCAAGTATGCGCTTTGCAATCAGACAGATCTGGATTTAAATCCCAGTGCCACCACTCAATTACTGTGTCACCTTGGACAAGTGACTCAACCCACCCAAGCTCAGTTCCTCGTCTGTAGAGATACTTTACCTTCAGAACTGTTGTAAATATTCAGTGAAATAAAAATTATAATATGTACCTAACAAGAATGGGATATAGCCTTCAAAGGCTGAAAGAGAACCTAACAGAAACCAATCAAATTATTTATCAAAATACTGATTTAATCAACCTTTTTGATTATCTGCTCTTCCCTGGGAGTGCGGATCTGTTCACCAGGTTGACTCAAATTGCATCACCTAGACTCCCTTTGCTGGCTTCTGGTTGGGTTTGTCCAATGGAAGATACCAGATCAGAGGGTGCCCCTCACCCCCAATCTAGGGGCCACATTTCTGATATTGCCTGCATCTATCCAAGACTATGACTTATGTTGGGCAGCCCTTCCTCCACAGTTCCAGCTATCACTGAAATGTGGTAATACTGTTTCCTCCCCTGGCCCCTTTAGACTAGGGGCAGTAGCCACTCCCAGCAGTTGTTTGTCTTGGGGCTCCTCAACATCTCTTATTGGTTCCCTGAAACCCATCCATACTGCTCTAGAGTCCCATCATAAAAGTCTCCTGAACTATATGAAGTGGGTTCCATTTTCTGCCAAAAACTAAAATGATCCATCCTCCCTTCTCACAAACTGACTTCTCCCAAGTATGACACATCCTCCAGTGGCCATGTTTGAGCCTAATTATTCTGTCCATCCTTCCCCTCAACCCCCAAAAACAACTAGAGTTTCTTTCTCTTGGAAACATGAGTTCGGAACTGAACGAGAAGGAATGGTCTCTTTTACAGAGGAGCTGGGAAGGAACCACATTTTTTCTACCACTGGCCCAAGAAATAGAAAACTAATCTGCAGGGAGACAAAAACAAAGCAAAGGGGGCGGGGGTGAAAAGCAGCAGAGATGAGCAAGGGAGAGCCTTGCTCATCCAAGTGCCCTTGGATTCCTGGAGAAACACTTGCAGACTTGTAATCCATACTATTTTTCTTGAGCCAGTGTGTTGGTTACCATTACCAGCAACTGAATCCTCAACACAACATCATGAGGTTAATTTCAACTGCTTCTAACTATCACCAAAACAAGATGAAATATTCCCTGAAATAGCAAAAGAACCAAAGGCTGAAGGGAAAGTGACATCAGAAGCTGAAACGGACCTTACTGTACCAAAGGTGAAAAGTAAAACATAAAATGACTAGGACTACACAAGCAACAGGAGTCCAGGCAGGCACTGCTTAAGGTGCACTGCTGGCACTCTATAACCAACGCAAGAAAAGTGTAGGAGATTTCAGAACTGAATCAGTGGAGATTCATGGTAGGCTCATTCACCTGCATCCTGCCTTTATTTGAATGGTGTAAATTGTGTCTTACTCCTCTATAAATATGGCATATTTTTGGCCAACATTAATAAGCCCTTATGAAGATGTTGATTTGAAGCCCATTACTCTGCATGGCTCTGTGATACACAGAGTTGAGCATTTACCAACAACTGTGGCCAAGTATGTCCATGGTACTGGTGAGAGGGAGGCTTGATCTAAAAAACAAAAACACCATCCAACTAATTCCTCCTTTAAAGCTTACCTTACTCATTCAATGCTACTAAGAACCTACCAAGTGCCAGACACTGGCCATGCCTTAAGGGTCCCCCATACAGACAAGTCAACAGGCTATTCCTTCCAAGGTCCATGAGGAGGGAATGACTGAGCCTCTAAGACCTCTAGGATCGTGCTTCTGGCCACCTGTGCACGCTGATCTTCCACCATTTCCCCCAGCCCACCCACTGGGCTCCACATGTCCTCCACCTGAGGATTTACAGACTCACCATCCCTTCCTTCTGGAACACTCACGCCTGCTTAATTCTCAGTCATGCTGAGAGCTCAATTCACGTGCTATTTCCTTAGGGAAGACTCCTCTGACCTCCCAGTCTAGATCGTGTCCCTGGTTTTTCCTTCATAGCACTAGTACAAATTTATATATAAACACTCAAGTACATTTACAATTTCTGCATCTTCCTTCTAGCACGAGAGCTATATAACAACAGGTTTCTTCCTAGCCCGAGTCTAGCTCAGTTCTGTGTTGAATGAATGAACACTGAGTCCTGAAGATACAGAGGAGGAATCCCTGACATGGATTTAGGGGAACAATTCCACCTACTTAGGGAAGCCTCCAGAGCATTACAAGTCCCTGGAATTCTTTTTATTTATTAAAAAAATATACATATTTCTTTAGAGATGGGCTCTCACTGTGTTGCCCAAGCTGGTCTCAAACTCCTAGGCTCAAGCGATCCTCCCATCTCAGCCTTCCAAAGTGCTGGGATTAGAGGCGTGAGCCACCATGCCGGGCCCCTGGTATACTTTAACTTCTTCAACCTCCACTAACTATACCACTTCCTTGGCATAGATCTTATTACCTTTGTCTTTATTTTATTCACTTTTACTCTCTGTTTGTCTCCCTCCTATCTTTCATTTATTTCACAACCATGCTTTAGCATCCCTACTGCTTCCCACATAACATGCCAGTGGCTAGATATATGTTGGTAAATAAAATTAATTAACTTTGCCCAAATTAGATCCTAGGCATCTCAAGGATCAGAACTGAGGCTTATAGTCTTTTCTTCCCCCATAGCACCCAGCAGATAACAGGTGTGTTATAAATATAAATGATTTTATTACTCATTATAAAGTAATAAAGGATTTATGACTATGGTGGGACTCTGCTGCTGGATAGCTAATGAACTGCCATGGGAATTAAGGATGCTGGGGAGAAATCTCTAACCTTGAAGTTACAGATATGTCCATGCCTCAGTGCCACTTTCAGAGATGAAATGTGAGAGAAAATACGACACATGACAGAGTCAGTACATCACGCTAAGCTGCGGTAACAAAGAAAGAAAACCAAAGGTTTTTAAATTTAGAGGAAAATGGTTATCCTTAATGTGTGCCTAAAAATCATACTTTGAGGATAAAAATCACCTGAACAAAGTGTATACAAAAACATAGCAGGGAAAGACAGATCTAATTGCTTTTGGGCATTTTTATGACCCCTCACACACAAATAACACATGTTACCGAGTAATACACACATATGTCCCACTATTGCTAATCCTGAATTATAACTAAAATATGCAACTGTGAGTTCTGACTTTATTATCCAGGCTTAATAAGCTAAATACTGGCATTTCTTCATATATAAAGGGCCCGGAAGATAACACTAGGTCACGATTTTTATAAATGGAAATGTCCTTAACTCACGTTGTGGAACTCTAATGATAGCTGGTTGCTTCAATCTGATGGCTATATCACGGGACCACTGATTTTGCAGTTGGTACTGACAGAAGAAAGGCATGAGGAAAAGAGGTAGGGGCTGTCGCCAGAACTCTGCCAAGGATGGGATGAAGAACTCTGATAGGAGGACCACACCGTGGGTTAACAAGTGGAGACAGAGCCAGAGGAGGATACGGGGTAGCTCGTTTCCAGGTCCCACATGTTTCAACCCTCGTTCTCGAGTGGTCAAAACCAGGGGTTTAACATAGAACACAGAGGACATTAGGTTACAGTTGCCTAGGGATCTTAGTTCTCTATTGGCAAAATGGAAACAGCACTTACGCTATCGGCTGCCTAGCCGCTTTTTAAAATTTATTTATTATTATTATTTTTTGAGACGGAGTCTCACTCTGTCGCCCAGGCTGGAGTGCAGTGGCGCGATCTCACTGCAACCTCCGCCTCCCGGGTTCAAGCGATTCGCCTGCCTCAGCCTCCGAAGTAGCTGGGACTACAGGAGCGCGCCACCACGCCCAGCTAATTTTTTTTTTTTTTTTTTTTTTGTATTTTTAGCAGAGACGGGGTATCACCATGTTGGCAAGGACGGTCTCTTGACCTCGTGATCCGCCCGCCTCGGCCTCCCAAAATGCTGGGATTACAGGCGTCCTAGCCGCTTTTTAAAAACTCTTCCCCCTTTATTTGTACCGCAATTTGTATTTACAAAGTGCGTTCACCTAGTATGCCCCTCCTAACCACGAGGTGAGGAAAAGCAGGCCAGAAGCCCAACTCCAAACTCCCATTTCCTCGAAGATAAAACTGAGGCTCGGACCAGTTATGCGCGCGAATGCCGAATGGATGGCCCTGGGGGCGATGCTCTCTCACTAAGAAAAGGCCTCCGGGACTGCCCAACGCTTCCTGCCCGGGTTCGGAATCTTATAGACCCGCAAAACTGCAAATGCGCTAACAGTCCTAAAAACGTCCGCGTTGCCAGCTCTGAACTGCAAACGCCGGCAGCAGAGCCGTTTAATCACAAGGTAAACGGACAGTCGCCGCAGCTCGGCTGCCTCCTCCCTGGCAAACCCAGGGCAGGCCGCGACCCGCAGGGCCAGGCTGAACCCGGCGGCCGACCCAACGCCACAGCTGTCGCTACCTGGACGCCGTGCACGATGTACACCTTCTCCGCCTCGCTCAGCGCCACGGACGCCATGCTGCCGAACAGCCCCGCGAGCCGCACGTCATCTGCGCGCGTCGCCTCCTCTGGACCGCACCCCCACGTCCCACCCACCGCGTCAGCGCGTCATCAACCTGTGCGGCGGCCGCTCCTGCAGCCGCGGCCGCCGCCACTGCCGGGAGCTCGATGGGCTTCTCCTGCGCGCCGCCCGGTGTCTGGCCGAGTCCAGAGAGCCGCGGCGCCTCGTTCCAAGGAGCCATCGCCGTAGCCCGAGGCCGGGTCCCGGGTTGGGGACTGCAGGGGAAGGCAGCGGCGGCCGCGGCGGGAGCCCCACCGGGGTCTGGGACTGGGGAACTGCCTCCGGCTTCACGGTCAGTTGGGAAGGGAAACCGGAGTTGGGGTGAAGAAGCTGGGGTGAGGCGAGCCACACGGGCCGGGGGACTCCCAGTGGGAGAGGCGTGCGGCGTAGTTACTCAGAGCTGGAGTTGACTTAGGAGCTCGTGTGTGTGTGTGTGAGTGAGAGAGAGAGAGAGACCCCGACTAAGGAGGGGCGGACGTCGTGATTGGCCCGGGGGTGCTGTTTCCCCGCTCTTCTCTCCTCCATTTCTCTAGTCCCTAGGATGACTGAAGAGGAGAGGAGAGGCGATGCAGCCCTCTGTAGGTAGCTCTCGGTGGGAAGGGTCCGGGAGTGGGGGACACTAGTCCTAAGGCGTCCCCACCCCTCCACCCAGGAATATCTCTCGCTGGCTCGCTCACTCTCTATGACCAAACGCTGTCCCAGTACCTTGCTGGGACCTCTTGCCTCGGGTGCTTACCAGAGCGTTGTCCCACAGACAGGGGGGAGGAGGCGCTTGGTAACCGGCGCTGCCGAGGTGCGCAGTGCCCGGACGTCCCCGACGCTTCCTAGCGGGAACTGGAAACCCCGGCTTGATGGAAGCTGTGAGCAGTTGCCGGAAAAAAAGCCAACCCCAACCCCTTGCTATGGCCGAGTGGGAGTATGGGTATTGGATACCTGGAGAGGATATCTGCAAGGTGAAGCTGGGGTCACCAAAGGAACTCATTAAGGCGGGGCGGACAAGTATGGTGCAAGTTTTAAAGGCGCCGTGTGGATAAATGGGAGAAAGTTAACCCAAATTAGTTGAAGCAAGGAAGGCAGGTTAAAGCAAGTCTGATGACTTTCCTGATGTTACATTTTTGAGGACCCTCCCTGTTCTCAAAAGTGAAAGTAACCCTAATCAGCTTGATGAACCAAAAAAAAAAAAAAAAAAAGTTGGTATTATCAGATAATGGCTTCAAATAACCATTGGGAGCCTACTATAGACAGGCTTTGTGCTACCTCTAGAACACAAGACAAGTAAAACACACTATGCTGGGAGAAGTTCCCTGGGCAGATGAAGGCTCCGGGGCCAACATAACCACAGATCATGGTGATTAGAGCTATGATGGTGGCATCAGTGAGCACAGTGGGATTGGGAGGTCGTCTGATAAGGTTATAGAGAGGAAGTGCTTGCTAACATTCTTAAGCATTAAACTGCTGAGTTCCAAAATTGATGATCAGTTCTTCATAGACTGGACATTAGATGTTTCGTATGTCTGTACATAATTCTCTACAGGGGCACCTAAAAGGAAGACAGTTTGCAGGATTGGACTTTGCCTTCCAGGGAACTGAAAGAGGTGAAGCCGGAAGGATTTCCTCCCTAATGAAGGCACAGGTGCCCCACCTGTTGTGGCACATAATTGTGTTTGTGTGTGGTTGGACAGCTGGGTTCTGTGTGAGGAGCTGTGTGTGATAAGATAACATGAGATCGCTAATGTTATAAATGACATTTTCTAGATGTGCTAGAGATTGCTCAGAAAGGAGAGACGCTGGAAGTGGGATTTTAGAAGCTAGGATATCTGAGGAGACTAAGGATTTAAGAGGTGACAGCAAATGGACAGATCAGAAAGACACAGGAAGAAAAGCCTGAGTTCAGATACCATGGAGTCATCTTTATATAAAGATTTTCATATAGAACATGTATTTGAACTGCCCTCCCCTCACAATTGACAGGAATTCCATACTGGACAAGGGTCTGCAGTATTTGCTAAATAATGTTATGAATGATGTCTTATATATGAGGCTAAGTAGGTAAGAGAGATGTAAACAGTGGAATGTTCCTTTTTAAATTGTCTGCTAAAACAATGACAATCTTCACTAATCATCTGCTTAAATGCTGCCACAACATTTTTATCACCTTTGCTGTAACAGTGCATTGGACATCTTTAAAATCCATAAATTCAGAGTTATTTTTTAGTGTATTGAAGTAATTCAAAGAACATATGATAACCCAAAAAAATCAAGAAGTCAAGGATGACACAGTATTAAACCATCTTGTTTTTCCATCACTATTAGATTCGTTTATTGAATGAATAAATGAATTGGGCATTCTATTCTGTAGGTTTGTGTATTCTAAAACCTTATACTCTAATTTTCAACACTAATTTACATAGTACTTATTGTAAGCCAAGCATTGTTCTAAGCACTTTGTAAAGATTAACCAGGCTAGGTGCGGTGGCTCACACCTGTAATCCCAGCATTTTGGGAGGCCGAGGTGGGTGGATCACCTGAGATTGGAAGTTTGAGACCAACTTGACCAACATGGAGAAACCTTATCTCTACTAAAAATACAAAATTAGCCAGGCATGGTGGTGCATGCCTGTAATCCCAGCTACTCGGGAGCCTGAGGCAGGAGAATCACCTGAATGCAGGAGGCAGAGGTTTTAGTGAGCCGAGATCACGCCATTGCACTCCAGCCTGGGCAACAAGAGCAAAACCCCGTCTCAAAAAAAAAAAAAAAAAATTACTCGGTCCTTGCAACATCCTTATGATGCAAGTATTTTTATCCCTATTTTACAGATTGGGAAATGAGGCACAGAGAGGTTAAATGCCGTAACCAGGGTCACAGGTTACATCATTGGTAAATGGCAGAACCAGGACTTGAGACCAGGCAGTCTTGCTCTCCTGCCCACACTCCTAACCATCACCTTACACAACCTCCCCCCAAGTTTTATTACATTCACCAGAGTATTTGGTGAAGGAAGTCCCAATTTTGTTATGGCATTGGTAACTGTCCCATGAACTATATAGTTCATCTTAATTCCAAAAGCAAGAAGTCTGTTCAAGCATAAACTCATATCTCTTGAATCATTTTTCTAGAGGAACGTGGAATGTGGTGCTGATGGGACTTTGCTGTGTCTGTTGCAGCCCAATATTTTAAACAAGGCAAAAGGTTATATATCAGCAGAATAGAGTTTAACTCCAGATAGCTAAGGAGAGAGCCCTCAGTGGCAAAGAAGTCTGATAGATCTGATACTAGGGTTGAGTAGCATGCATGGAGACCCAGATTCCAACCGTATGCCATACTCAGGATATCTAGAAACTCTTCAGTCAGTCAGTGTTTGCATGCCTGTGAGTCCCTAGTGTTCTTATGGGCATAAAGAGATAAGAAACTCAAAACACAGCACCTGCCTAAAAATAGTTTAGAGTTTATTATAGTGGGGGAGCCCAGGACCTTGAACTACTGCATGAACAAGACAATAAAATAAAGTGCTCAAATTGAGACATGTGGCAATTAGAAGAGAGACCAGCCTATAATAAGGTGCTAATTGTGCAGGCCAGGTATCAGATACAAAAGGTAAGAGCTGCTGCTAGCCACAAGCCAGCAGCAATAACATTACAGAGGTAGAGTAAATCTGTCCCACCCAGCCTTGGTTAATTAAACCAATAAAAGCCAGTTACAAAAGAGCTTCAGGGCAGTGCTGAGTCTGTGGTGCTGACGTTGCAGAGAGCTTTTTTGGAGACAGAAACTTGCTCTGTTGTCTAGGCTGGAGTGCGGTGGCACGATCTCTGCTCACTGCAACCTCCGCCTCCTGGGTTTAAGTGATTCTTGGGCCTCAGTCTCCCGAGTAGCTGGGATTACAAGTGTGTGCCACCACTCATAGCTAATTTTTGTATTTTTGGTAGAGACTGGGTTTGGCCATGTTGGTCAGGCTGGTCTCGAAATCCTGGCCTCAAGAGATCTGCCTGCCTCGACCTACCAAAGTGCTGGGATTACAGGCATGAGCCACTGTGCTCAGTTGCAGAGAGCTCTTAAAAGCCCAGTAGGAAACCTTCCAACCCCAGTCCTAAGCAGACATGGCCACATTTTAGGCCTTTTGCTTTGCATTTTCACCATTAGCCCAGCACCCTCGAAATGTACAAAGTGAGTTATTGTTTTCCCTGTAGATCTGTTTCCTTTAAACACTTTACATTTGTCCTGCCTGTACCTTGTCTTAAAAGAATGAGGTAGGAGGATCCCTTGAGCCCCAGAGTTTGAATCCAGCCTGGGCAACATAGACCCCATCGCTAAAAAATAATAAAATAATAATAAGTAATAAAATAATGATAGAAATGAAGAGTATCTGTAAAGAATACTATCATAGTCTGGCCAGCAGGTCTTCATCTGTCTTCTAGACATTATAACTCGGGATTACAGTGATAGAAAAATTGCTAGTAATACATGGGTAAAGCTTACTCTTAATTAGAGGAAAGGTTATACAGTCTTCATGTGTGTTTCATTTTGGGAGAGTGACAGCGTGTTTCCTGTGTCTCATTAGGGCATATTTGAGAAAAGGGGGTCACAGATCCTGATTACCAAATGTGGAAATATTTAAACACACACGCAGTGATAGCCATGGAAAGTAACAAAGTCTCAAGTAGAAGTGGAGGGGTGATATCTCATATTGACCTGCTAGGGGAAAAAATGAGGCTCATGCCATGCTGCCTTTAGTTCCTTCCTGTTTTGCATTTTAAAAAATGATTTGCTTTCCTCCTCGGAAGCAGATTTTCAGAGACAAATGGCCAGTTCATTCATGGCTATCAACTGTGAAGGTGAGAAGGCTCCAGGTGCATGTCCCACTTAATTCAGTCATACATCCTAATACATTTGGAATGCATGGGAAATGTCATTATTTCAGTCTCCTCCAAACCATAGCCTTCCTAGTATATATTGACTTGGTGCTTGAACTCTTGGCAAGACATGAATGTGTATTTCCTATTCAAGGTCAGTGGAGATGGAATACCTTTGGGTGAGATCACTTTCTTACCTTAGCAAGGTGAGCCTAATGGGACAAATACAGTTCTGGCCACAGTCCGGTTGCAGTAAAGTCTTCGGTATGTGAAGACTTTAAGAAATAGACCAAGAAATAGTAGCAGAGAATCTAGAAAGACAGGTTGGTTAGGAAGATAACAATCTATAGTGGAAAGACTTCCCGGCATCTTATTCGAAAGATTTGGGCTTTACTATTAACTTGCTTTATGACTTTGAACAAGGCAGTTTACCTAAGTTTCATT